CTGCTTTATGAAGCAATTTATAAAATTTGTCAGTGTATTCATCAATTGTTCCAATTTGTTATAATTATTTCAATTAATCACTTTATTTATTCACTTTTTGATTAGTATGAAATTTAAGTGTTTGAAGTCATGTTTATCATGAACAAGATTTTTTTAGTTATTTAAAATGAGAATATTATCTCTAGCTCTCTCAGTGAATCAAATAATAGCAGGATCTTTCAAATATTCATGAACAATTTGAATTTTTCTTGCATTAATTATTATATTTGCTTCAGCAACAACTTCAAAGTCTCTTAGTCAAGTAACTGGATCTTGGTCTTCATCACAAAATTTCTTGATGAGTATGATAATTTTTTTAGTTGCTCTATTATTTTGAGCTGTCAATATTACTGCAAATCTATTAATAGCTGCTAAAATATTACCAATATCTGTCATTTCTTGAAATAATTCTGAAAGGTAAAGTTCAAATTCAAAGTTATAATTTGTAATTTGTAACAGAAACTTGTTGTTGAACTTTTTCTTGTTGACTATCTAGTAATTTCTCAGTATTTTTATTGGTTTCTAAATAATTTTAATCAGAAGAATTTGAGATTTCTTTGAATTCTTGGTTATGAATATAATTTGTTACAAGTTAAATAAGTTATAATTATTCAGGAATTGTGTTCTTATTATGATATAAGAGAGTATTGACAAGTCTAATAATGTTTTTACAAAGATCTTTTGGTGATAGAATTAAGTAGATATTTAAAATATCTTCAAACATGATCTCAGTAGTGTGTGATCCAGAAACTGCTCCAAAAGTTTGAATCCAATTGACAAAATTAGCTAATTTATCAGAAATATTATCAAAAGAAATAAAACACAAATGATAATAATATTCAAAGTTTATTTTTAAAAGAGATTATCTTTTTGGTTTAAATTTGTGAATGTAAAAATGATTTTTAGTTAATTGTTCAATAAAAGTAAAAATAATATTTATATAATAATAAAATTAAATAAATTGAATAAAATAATATTGTAAAAGTAAGTGAGAGATATAATTCACAGAGAGAACATCAAAATGTTCTTATTAATTCAAGAATTGTTGAAATTAATAAACTAATAAAGTAATATAATAGTGAAAGAACAAAAACTGAATGAATTACAATTAATAGAGTTTATTAAAGATTCTAAAGATCTTTTATAATAATTTATATACAAACTAACTAATTATTATCAATAAAGAATAGAAATAGATAAAAAAATAAAGTGAAAATACAAAAAGAATTAACAAAAATAACAAATAGTTTCAAAGTAAATAATAGGACTTATTGATGATACCTAATAAAATAAAATAATAATTGGACTTATTAAAATTGTCAATTACAAAATATAAACAAAAATAACTAAAAATAATCAAACAGAACTTATTGAGATTGTCTAAAAATAATAAAACTAAATTAAATAAAAGTAATAATATCAATGACTTATTTAGAATGGAGAAGTATTTACTACTTGTAATTTCAAGATTGAAGATAATTTATGAAAATAATAGTGTATTTACAAGTAAAATATTACTAGTAAGAACTTTGTTATTTATTAAATAAAAAAATTAGAGCATAAGAGTTTTTAGTAACAAGAGATTCTTCTTTTATATATTTTTAATCTTTATACAATTTACATAACTAATAATTGTTCTAAATTATATCACAATTTATATATAATATTAATAATATAAAAGGAATATAAATACTGAAAAATTATACAAATTCATTAACAAGAAAATACAAAAGAAAATTAATTGTAATTTTAATGATTAAAGATAAGAAAAAGCAAGAGTTTAAGTAAAAAGAAGTGTTATAAAAAAAGAAAATAATAATACAAATATGATTATAGATAATTACAATAAAGAAATTAAGAGATAGAAAGAATAATTATAACAAAAGTAAAAAATAAAATAAAATAAATATAAAAATGATTAATTAAAAATAATGAAATAAAATAAGTATAATAGAAATATAAATAAGATAAATTAATAGTAAAAATATAAGTTTTATAGTAAAAAATATAAAAATAAACAAATTTAATGGAACTGTAAAAGAAAATAAAACAAAAAATATACAAAAATATAATTATTATTTAGGTATTACAATTTAGATATCAAAAGATAATGATATATACTAAATATAATCATGTAATAGAATATAATATAAAAATAAAGAGACAAATTAATTTAATTATCATTAAATTATATGATGTTATATTAATTTTTTTGTAATATATCTTAATTTTTATTAATCAATAATTAAGTAATTATAATATTTTTGATGAGAATAATAATACTAAATCTTTATATTTAGAATAAGACTATATTTTAGCAATAAAAAAAAATAAAAATAAAAATGATAATAGTAGAATCTATTTTAATTGATATTAATATTAATTTTAATTGAACAAATATTATTATTATTGTCATTCCTATTTTGAATCAGAAAATATAAATAAAAAATATAATTTTGATTGGATAAATATAATTGTTATTGTTATTTTTAATTTGAATTAAATATATTTTTAAAATTTAATTTAATTTGAGTTCAAGTTCAAGTTTGAATTTGAATCAATATATAATATTATATATATATTTATAGTTATAAAAAAGAGCTACAATTTTACTTAAGATAATATAAAGTATTTTTTATTAAAAATTTAAATTTTACTTAGATATAACTAAATATTTTTATATAAATATTTATTGTAATTATTATATAACTCTATGAATATTAATTTTAAATATTAATTATCTTATAATAATTTGTAACTCTAATTATAATCTATAACTTTACTTTTAATTATATTTAATATTTTATATTTAAATTTTAAATTTTACTTAGATATAACAAAAATAGTATTTATTATAAATATTATATAACTAATTGAATATCTATTATTAATATTAAGTATTATATACAAATTAATAGCTTTAATTATACTCTATAACTTTGCTTAGAATTATAATTTGTATTTTCTAATAAAAAATAAGAGTTTATTTTAATATAACAACAATAAATTAAAATTTAAATAATTATAAAGATATATAACTGTGAAAATTGTGTTTAAATATTAACTATTTTATAGTGATTTATAACTCTAATTATGATATATAACTTTACTTATAACTGCTTAATATATTTACTATTAAAATATTTGAACTCAAATAAAAGTTTAATTCAAGTATAATATTTGACTTGTATTTAATTTGAGCCAAAATTAAATTCAGTATGATATGATATTAGATATATATATATATATTATTTGATTAACAAAGAACTGAAAAGTCAAATAATTACTTTCATAATAAAAATAAAATTATAATATTACTATTAATAATATTGTTGTGATATGAATTTTGATATATCATATGACTTTTTATAGTTTATTTTGATTGAATAATTGATTTATATGTGATTTGTAAATCATATTCATATTTATTTTATATTACTCATACTATTTTTATTATATTTTATACTTTTTATTTTTATTTTATTTTTATATTATTTTATTTTATTTTATTCTATTTCATTCTACTTTTATATTATTTCATTCTATATTAATTATAATTTATACTAATCATATTTAATTCATATTATTATTATTAGTATAAAAAATACGTGTTAATTGATCTATATAATTAAATTAATTGATATTAATGATGAAATTTATGTAACATTAGAATGAGTGATGTACAATCATCAAGTAAGCAAGTAATGTATAATCATTAAGTAAGCGCTTTTTGTAATCATAATATCAATCAAAAATAACTTTAATATTTAAAGATCAAGTAACAATAACTTGTATAAATATAATATATATTTTAGCTTAGAAAAATCTTCTTCTTATACTTTTATAATTATTTATTTTTGAATCTTTTTATTAACTTTAATTTTTTTTTGACAAAATCTTCTTAAAAATGAATCATATTATAAGTCTTGAGTTGGAAATTTTCAGTCAAGCATTTTTTTCTTATTTATATTCTTTTATATTTAAAAAATCTCTCATCTGTAACAAGCAACATCATATATAATAACATAATTAATCTCTTGTCACTACTCTGCGAAGTTAATTAATATTATTTAGATTTATAATAAAAGAAAAAGTTAATTTTATTAAAAAGTTAATTAATAAAAGAAAATTACTTAACTAAATTATTTGAATTAAAAGAAGATTTTTGAACTTATTCTAGTAGTTCAACAAAATGAATACATCATTATCTATCTTTATTAAATTAATCTCTCCCAATATTAATTACTTAAAACATATAAAAATCTTTAATAACTCTCTCATCTGATTGAAATACGTGAAGAACACATGATTTATATTTAAAAAATAATAAAACCAACAGAAACAATAACAATATGTTTGATTACCATCATTCTGTTACTCAACAAGAAACTGAATTACTCAACCAAAATCATTTAACTGTTGCTGATTATCTTGCTATTCAACAATATGAAATTTTTATTCATATTTTAAACTTGAAAAACAAGCTTTATGAATCTAATTTACAATATGAACATGAGATTAAGATAATTGCTGCCAATGCACTGCTTTTCAATTACATAGTCTCATATATATTATTGCATACAATGCATATTGATATTTCATGTGTGACATGTTGAATGGGTGACATGGGAGTGACATGTATATGATCTATATCACGTGAAAACTGCTCTGCTTTAGCCAACCTCTATAAATGGCCATATGGTATAGAAGTGCAGGGTAATATTAATTTTTGTACAGTTCCAATTAGTGAATCTTTAAATTTAAGATATCAAGTACATATATTAAACATTTCACGCATATAAAAGACGCGTTTATTAATTCGCCGAGCCATTTTTTATACGTAATGTATAGTACATGTAATGTCTAATTAACTAATGCTAATGTGTTCTAAATGTATCATTATCGACCAATCACATTTCATAAAAATCATTAGGGGTGATAACCAATAAAGAGAACTTCAGTCATGCTTCACCAGTAGTATTTCTAGGTAGTTTAATATCATGCCGTGCTTCATATTGTAAAATTTCTTCTCGGAAATCAAAAGGATAACTAGAACCAATCAAATCCTCAGGAGAAGGTTTTGGGCCAAGAGTTCCAATTACGGTACAAACCTCTTCAAATTCATTATATTCCAACCTTTAAAATTAGAATTCGAATTTCTTGATTGAATTAATCAGATCGGAAAAACCAATAGAATTCAAGCAAAAAACCAAATTAGACTCACTCAACAACTTCAAATCCGACCTCATCATCTTTTTCTATTACATGGTCATTTGTAAGGTCAATCCAATTACCTAAACTTACACTTTCAATATCCAAAGTCGGTTTTGTCCACTCTTTATTTGGCCGCCATCTAAATTTATCGGTTGGTATGTATTGAATTGGTATTGATGCGTTGTAATATCTATAGAGTAACATGCCGATGTGAGTAGGAGACTGAAGTTGAACCACGCCAACTAAAAGAAAATAAAAATGTAAAGATTAAATTGCAATTGGGAAATACTATTTTAATTGTCAACTCACATAACTTTTTACCCTTCTCTGGGATAAATGAAATCATTTCGCAATCTACCCAGATACTTGTAAATGGTGTATCTTCAAACAAGTAACCAGCACCATCTGGAATCCCGATGGTTTCGAGAGATATGGGAAATCCTTTTAATTGCGGAACATATCTAAAAAAACATAAATTATCTAATACACAATCTTAATTTTATAATACAATATAACAAAAAATAAACTATTTCCACCTGAACATAATTTCCTCAAGATACTCCATGATAGAAACTTCTACATTTTTCAAGAAAGACGGTGCCAAGTGAATCAACAATTTGGCCGTAACTCTTGAAAATGGTAAATTGTTTATAGATTCCTGCTTTGTGATATTAATGTTTAAATCAGCGATTTTATGTCTCGAGTGATTCTTTCTCTCGGATTGTTTTTCATCTGTTGAGATTTCGACGCTTGAATTATCAAATATTTCCTCTTTTTCCCTCCCTTTTACTTTTTCCTTTCCTTTTCCCTTCCCTTTCGCTTTTTCCTTTTCTTTTCCCTTCCCTTTCGTTTTTACAATGTCTTTCTTCTTTTTTTTCTTCAAATCCTTTGTATCATTATCATGTTTCTTCTTTCTCTTATTATTGTCTTTAGAATAATTGACATTAACATCCTCTAAATGTTTGTTCTTTGTGTGCTTTGAATTTGTGTCTGATTGATTTGACTTGTTTTTGTTGACTAAGTGACTTTTGGAGCCACTCGCAATGCGTTCGTGGTTATTCATGCAAGTAAATCAAACAATGGACACGAAAAAATTTTATTTTCATAAATCAATGATCTATTTCGACTAACGCTAAACATTTCTATTTAATTGAATTATTTATAAAAATGTCCAAATTCTTTCACAATCCCAAAGCACAATACATATTAAGAAAACTGGGCTGGGTGCCAGTTTTCGCGTTTTTTGTTGACCACGTGTACAGTGTTGCCTCGGTGAACGGTCGTTCGATGCAGGTAAATAATTTACTCAAGAATTATTCATCTATTAATTATTTACACAAAAAAACTAAATACACTCAGCCAACTTTTAATCCAGACTCAAACAAACTTCGACACGACATTGTTCTGCTGAATCGATGGGCTATAGCATGGCGGAAATACGAAATTGGTGATGTGGTCACATTATGGTATTTTTCGTGTATTTTATATCTTAATTGCAAAAAATAAAAATACTTGTGAAAAAATCGGTATATTTTATTTATTTATATAATAACATGATTTTTTTAATAATATAACAAGGTCACCATTTGACCCCGACCTACTAATAACCAAACGCATTATCGCGTTAGAAGGCGACACTGTTATCACATTACCACCGTACCCAGATAAACTAGTGAATGTGCCAAAAGGGTATTGTTGGGTGGAGGGAGATGAGAATTTCCATAGTAAAGATAGTAATTCGTTCGGACCTGTAAGGATTATTATTATTGTTAATGCTGATTGATATTATCCTCGTTAATGATAATTTGATGTAGGTTCCACTCGGACTGATAAATGCCAAAGTGACACACATTATCTGGCCATTATCACGGTTTGGTAAAGTGCCTATTATAACACGTCCTGGGCGAGTGTTTTATGGTGTTTCAAATTTTAGTGTTGTTGGCAACATAGTATGAAAAATTGGACATATTCGGTAATAACCATTATTGGAAAAGTGGTAGCCTGAAATTCAACATTCTAATTTTTCTAGATTCTTTACCAACTATACAATTAACGATTGTGATCAAAAGTTATTTAGTAAGTATTAATATATCATTAAACTCTACCCTCGTTATAGCGGATTTTTAAAATTTTAGCCTCGCATATAAAAATCCGTTATAGCATAATTAGTAAATTTGTTATAACAGATTTTAAAATTTTTAAATGTAATTTTCCTACAAGTTCCAATTATTACGTTATAACGAGGTATAGTGAAGTAATAATTTAATGTTTTATAAATTGTATTTTGTCCAGATATCTTTGTTTATTACTTATACAAAGAAACTTCCATAAGTGCACCCCTTTGGGACCAAAATTCAGGGCTAATTTGTAGAAAAACAGTTCAAGAGATAGTGAGATTTGATTATATATGATAAATTATTTAATAATTTCCATTACAAAAAATAATTTTATCTTTTTTTTTATAGCAATTGGATAAATGAATTATTAATTGTTAATTAGTAATTAGTAATTAATTGGATAATTATATTAATGCTAAAATTACATATATAATTAATATTATATATTCTAATTCTTTTATATTGTTACCATTTTATCTTTTATCATTATCATTATGTATTATTTTAAGTGCAGTAATATTTTTTTTAATATTTTCACTTTTATATTTTCTTATATTTTTATCCAATAACAATAATTCATATTTTTATCTAATTATTTGATATTATTATCATATTATTTTAGTTTAGATTTTATTATCATTCAAATAATCAATTAATTTATAGTATTGTTATATTATTTTATATTTTAATTAATGATATATAGATTTTATATAATGATCATTATATATCAACATGTTTTAGATTTACATTTTTATTGATTTCTTTTTGTAAATTATATATATAAATAATATGTAAATTAGCATAACTTAAATTTACTATTGTTATCATTTTTATAAAATTTAAGTTATTTATATTTTTTTTATTGCTGAAGTGTAGTCTTGTTTACAGTAATGTCTAATTTAATATATATAATATGAAAAATAAGAAATAAAATACTATAAACTACCAAAAATCTACATTGAAAGAGTTCAATACGACTAGCCACCAGTAACCTGTCGAAGCTTACACAGAGTTCAGAGAATTCATCAAATTGTCACTGAAGGTTTTCAATTGATAATGTTAGTAATATTTATATTGTTATAAAGAATGAATGTGAAAGATTTAGGACAATTGCCATTGTTGTGTTCTTCTGGTAAGAATTTGCATATGCATAGGTTTGGATTGGAGTAATGTTTGTTAAGCGAAATGTATGAGGATAAGTTATATTATGGACATCCTTTATTTTTGGCATGAGAGTTTGATTTTTTTGCTTTTTATAAATATGACATGATTTGTCAATTTGAATTTGGATCTTGCATTTGTTATTCCAAATTTGAGTTTTTGTTTGCATGACAAATCAGAAAATTATTTTGTATGATATTGTGATAGTGTCTTGGTGTGATAATCTGAGGGATTTAATGAAAATCAATAATGATATAAGAACAAAGCTGTAGATAATGTAAATAATATGTAAAGAATTTGGTTAGAGTCAGTGAGTTGATGAGAAGTTTGAGCAAAAAAAGAACTTTGAGCAAAAGTTCTTGCTAGAAGATTTGTAGAAATCTTTATTTTTATGATCTAATTTCATTTTTTTTAATGTTTTAAAGATGAGAGAGCTGAGTTTGGTAGCAAGAGAATTGATGATGTTGTTAATTATTGGAATTGAATCGATGCATGATCATATATGTAATTGGATTTCCTTGTGAATGTTGCAACGATTGCATGTAGTATTTGAGTAGAGATCAGGGTGATGTGTATTTAATAATTCCAATACTGGAAGTTGTTGATTTATGCACTTAATAAAGTAAGTTCTAATATTTGAATGAAAGAAAGTGGTAAATGCGCTATTTGCATCTTTGTCTGGATTCCAAACTTGAAGAGTGATTTTTCAGTTGATATTTTAAACATTGTTACCATTCTACCTTTCATCAATCATATCACATTATATTTCTTAGCGCAGTAATATTTACTTAAACTTTTTCTTTTATTTTTCTATATTTCTTATATTATCCAATAGCAATAATTTACTTTCTTATCCAATTATTTTATATTATTATTGCATCAT